GCTGTGGATTCTGAAACCATGGGTAGTAGCAAACTATATATATAAGCCCTTATCATGCCTATTATAAAGTTTGATTCATAAATTATGCACAGTAAGTGGAGACTTATCACATGTTCACTGATGGGAAGCACTTCACAGCTTCTCTTAGGCTTTGAAGAACTGCCACCTTCTCTTCTGTAGTGCCTTGGGGTCATTATTATGCAAAATTAAGAGGTATTTTTGGGCCACAGTAAACCTTGGATAACTAAAACCCCAGATACCGAATCAGTGGATACAGGAATCAGACATGAGCACCCTAACTCCCCACCAGTGCTTAGAGAAGCTGAATATAGAAGCATACAAAGTCTGTATTAAACATGTACCATTGAGGAAGCCCAGAAAAAATCAAATATAGAGAGAGCATAGGAGATGGTACAGAAAAAGAAAAGAAAAAATTCAAATTCAAATTCAAATTTTTTTTTTTTCAAAGTTTACAATGTGTGACTGACGTGTTATAAGGATTCTGTTTCCATGCATAGTTTACAATGTTTAATTACTATGTTGATTTGCAAGTGCAAAGAAAGCCACTATCATGCCGAGGCATGATAGTGGCTTTCTTTGCACTAAACCTAACACATTACAGACTATACTTAATATGAGAAATATACATTGGTACCTCGGGATATGGACTTAATTCATTCCAGAAGGCTATTCGAGTGCTGATACCGAACGAATTTGTTTCCATAAGGAATAATGTAAATTAGATCAATCTGTTTCAGACCCCCAAAAATATATATACATGTACTTACAAAAGCACTTGCATAAATACACTTACATAACTGTTTGAGTTTTGAGCTGTTCGTATCCTGAGGTACCACTGTATATCATAGTTGGTTCAAATTGAAACATTGATTTTGTATATATCAACAGCAGTAGTTACAGTACAGTGGACCCTCGACTAACGCTATTAATCCGTTTCTGAGAGCTCATCGTTAGTCAGAATAATCATTAGTCAAGTTAATTTTCCCCATAAGAAATAATGGAAATCAAATTAATCCGTGCAAGACACCCAAAAGTATTGAAAAAAAAAATTTTAACACATGAAATATTAATTTTAATACACACAAACTGAAGAAGACATGCACAGTTACATGACACTTACCTTTATTGAAGATCTGGTGATGATTGATGGGATGGGAAGAGGGGAGTGTGTTGATGGTCTTAGTGTTTAGAAGGGGAATCCCCTTCCATTAGGACTTGAGGTGGCAAGTCCTTTTTTCGGGGTTACTTCCCTTCTTCTTTTAATGCCACTAGGACCAGCTTGAGAGTCACTGGACCTCTGTCGCACAACATATCTGCCCATAGAGGCCTGTACCTCCCGTTCCTTTATGACATTCCTAAAGTGTTTCACAACATTGTCAGTGTCACCATTAAACACTTGTTCAGGTTTCAGTCCTACACTGTCTATATACTCCTTGAATTCCTGCACATATTTTTCAGCTGCTTTTTGGTCCAAACTGGCAGCCTCACCATGCCTTATCACACTATGTATGCCACTACGATTCTTAAATCTCTCAAACCAACCTTTGCTGGCCTTAAATTCACTCACATCACCACTAGTTGCTGGCATTTTTCTAATTAAATCGTCATGCAACTTCCTAGCCTTTTCACATATGATCGCTTGAGAGATGCTATCTCCTGCTATCTGTTTTTTGTTTATCCATACCAATAACAGTCTCTCAACATCTTCTATCACTTGCGATCTCAGTTTCGAAAACATAGTTGCACCTTTGGCAAGTGGGAGAAAGCTGGTAGGCCCACATGTGAGAGAATGGGTCTGTGTGGTCAGTGTACACTACATAAAAAAAATCCTGCAGCACACAGTGCGTAATGAGAAAAAACTGACCTTTTTTCGATTAAAACGCCAACTTTGAGGTGTATTTTTGTATAGTATTTATCGTTGTATTCTCGTTTTCATGGTCTCAGGTGATAAAATGTAATACATATTACAGAAATAGAGATGATTTTGATTACTTTCACGATGAAAACGACCTTGAAATTGAGCTCAAAGTAGCGGAAATGTTCGATTTTTACCAATGTTCAGGAGTAAGCAAATCACACCACACATCCAATACACTTCAACTGGGGAGTCTAATATTCTTTTACTAGTGCACTGATATTATATATACCATTTTTACAATAATGCAGTGGTCTGCATAACAGTAAATTTTGTATTTTTTTGTATGAATAAAAAATCAAAATAGAAAGCAATAGTAATACAGTGGACCCCCGCATAGCGAACGCCTTGCATAGCGAACAATCCGCATAGCGAACGCTTTGTTCGCTAAAATTTTGCCCCGCATAGTGGACAAAAACCCGCTCAGCGACCTTCGTCCGAGACGCGTCCAATGTGCGGCCTCAGCCAGCCTCACATGTGCCGCCCGTCCCATTGTTTACCAGCCAGCCTCCGGGGTAACATTCAAGCATACACTCGGAATATTTCGTATTATTACAGTGTTTTCGGTGCTGTTTCTGGAAAATAAGTGACCATGGGCCCCAAGAAAGCTTCTAGTGCCAACCCTGTGGTAAAAAGGGTGAGAATTAGTATGGAAATTAAGAAAGATTTTGAAGGGTTTGGGGCTAACCCTGAGAAGCCTATGCCAGTTGTGGAATCCATTGTGCCTACTTCAAAAATTAAGGAAATGTGTGCACAGTGGGTTGAACTGCAAACCTTTATGGATGAAAATCACCCTGACACAGCTGTTGCAAGCCGTGCTGGTGACTATTTCAATGACAATGTTATGGCCCATTTTAGACAAATCGTAAAGGAACGGGAGGTACAGAGCTCTATGGACAGATTTGTTGTGCGACAGAGGTCCAGTGACTCTGAAGCTGGTCCTAGTGGCATTAAAAGAAGAAGGGAAGTAACCCCGGAAAAGGACTTGCTACCTCAAGTCCTAATGGAAGGGGATTCCCCTTCTAAACACTAACACTCTCTCTCCCCTCCTCCCATCCCATCAATCATCACCAGATCTTCAATAAAAGTAAGTGTCATGTAATTGTGCATGCCTTTTTCAGTTTGTGTGTACTAAAATTAACATTTTTTTGTGGTAAAAAAAATTTTTTTTCATACTTTTGGGTGTCTTGCACGGATTAATTTTATTTCCATTATTTCTTATGGGGAAAATTAATTCGCATAGCGAACATTTCGCATAACGACCAGCCCTCTTGCACGGATTAAGTTCGCTATGCGGGGGTCCACTGTATAAGAGGCCTCGGCCTAGAGACGTGACTGATGAACAGAGGATATGTTATTTTAGTACCAAGAGTGTCTACATTGTTTATTCTGGACTCTATTTTGAAATTGGCATCTTTTTTAATTTGCATGAAATTGGCCAAATTGCCAATTTCTGACCACTTTATTGGGTAGTTCAAATTGGTAAATGGGCGGTTTCTTGTACTCAATTGATAGAAAAAATGGAGTTCTAAAGAAATAGCTATGAGTTTGGTCAACTGGAACAACGGAATTGGCCAAAAACAGGGCTCTAAGTCAGTGAAATCACCAATGTGTATATGTTGCCGAGACCGCTAACTTTGAGGGAGCGTAATTCCGTGAGTTTTCAACCAAATTTCGTACTTTTGGTGTCATTACCATCGGAAAAAGATTCTCTTTCATTTCATAAGAAAAAATAATTCTTTGTTTTTTCCAAAAATTTATCGACATAGAATGACGGTTTCAGAAAGGGGCTTGCGACAGTCAAAGGGTTAAAATAGCAGATTTGTGGTGTATTTTTATATGGTTTTATTCTAGGTTTCTTGGTATCAGTTGATAGAATGGAAGATATGTTAAAGAAATTGAGTTGATTTTGATTAGTTTCAAGACTGGAAGCAGCTTGAATCCACTGTCATTATTTTTATACAATTAGTACAATAATGCATAACAGTAAATCTTCTAATTTTTAGTGTGAATAGAAATTCAAAATGGAATTCATGTGTAATATTGAGAAATCTCATGAACAGAGGAAATGTTATTTTAGTGCCAGGAAGGTCTGCATTGTTTATTCTGGATCCTATTTTGAAACTGGCACCTTTTGAATATTGTGTAATATTGGCCAAATTACCAATTTCTGATCACTTTATTGGGTAGTTGGAATACGTGAATGGGCAGTTTCTTGTGCTTCATTGGTAAAGTGGAAGGCATACTAGTGAAATAGCTAAGAATTTGGTCAGCTGGATCAATGTAATTGGCCTAAAATAGGACTCAAATTGGGCAGAATTGTCAGTGCATAAATATTGTTGACACAGCAAAATTCGCGAGTGTAATTTTGCCAGTTTGCCATCAAATTTCGTACTTTTTATTTTATTACCTTCAGAAAAAGATTCTACCATTTCATAAGAAAAAAAAAAATTTGAAAATTCTTGGACCCTGTGAACAAGTGTCAAATCAGGGGTCTGGACCTTGAAAGGGTTTGAGGTACTAAAAGCTTTAATATTTTTTGAAATCCTTTTATAAACTTATATATTGTTATCAAATCTCTGCTTTTCTCTTATCAGCCAGTGTCGACTTTGTTAGTGTCTAAAGCCTTTCATTATATCTCATATTTTTTTTTAACTCTGGGACTCGTTTTGTAGCTCTTTGAGCTTTTTCTAAATTATGTTTTTACCAAGTGGCTCTCACACAGTAGCTGCATATTCCAATTTTGGTCTAATATACTTGTATGTTGTGAACAAATTTTTCAGCATCTCTCCATCAATACATTTGAAAGCTACTTTACAGTTAGCCAGTGTAGCATGTGCATTGCTCATAGTTTCATTTTTTGTCAATTTTTATTAATAATAACTCCCTTTCTTTGTACATAGACTTATAAAATTTTGTCATACAATATATATTCTTATGTGATCTGAATTTGCTTTCTTCTATTTCTGTTACATGGCATTTATCACATTTGTAAGAAACATATGTTTAAATGAAGCACATTGTTGCCATTTGATTCTTTAATTAACGAGAGGTAATTTTACAGGCCATTGTACTGGAAGGGAAGTACTGGAAGCGCCAGCTGGATGCTGTCACAGCAGAGTATAAAAAGTGGAGAATATACCACAAGAACAAAATGTGTGGCAGCAACATTCTTGACACTGACACGGTGAGAGGCAGCACTTGACATTGTAAACCATTGCCCTGTGATCTTCATCTTTTTTTTTTTTTCAAGATTCACTGAAGCCTGGCCTTAGATAATTCTGTGAGAATACAAACCATGCATAACCCATATCTTAGGTTAGGTACTCGGCTATATCCATAACAGCCACCGAAAATTAACCTGCATACCTAGCCTCACTTGTTTATAGATGTACCCTAATCACACACATGAATTTGCGCACTAGCATTCAGTAAGTGCTCAGAGACTATGGAGTAAATCATTATCCTGTATGAATATAATATTAGATACTTCTTTCCTTCACATTGCTAGAATTATTTATGTAGGATTACTACTAAAAGCTGGGTATTATTTCATTTTGTATGTTGTGTAGCAACTGTCTCTGTTTACATAGTTGGCTTTTTACTGTCATATATACTCAAGCATTGGTTGATCTTGTATATAAGTTGACCTGACTTTTTTGGGGTGCCCAAAAATGTGTATTATATTTTTTATATACATGTATATCTACCTTAGCTTTTAAAGAACAACAGGACAACATTCAAGAAATAAAGTACTGTACTGGGTGTTAGTATGAAGGTTAGTTGCAGCCTGTGGCTTGTCTTGTGTAAAACAAGATAGCAATCTTCCATTCTAATGTTTTTTCCTTAACTTTCAGGTATGTTAATTAGAAATGAAAATGAATACAGTGGAACCTTGACTTACGAATGTCCCAACATATGAGTTTTTTTGAGATACAAACCATCGCTTGGTCGATTTTTTGCTCTGAGTTACAAGCCAACATCCGAGTTACGAGCGAGCTTCCCCCGCTTTTCCCTCACCCCACAACCTGCACACCTCGCTTGTCTGTCTATGATTTCATGCTTTAATTCCATGGATATCATCCTCTTTTCCTTCTCAGCACTGTCCATTACCCTTACGAGGTAAACAGTGCACTGAGTTGGCGGCGTTCTGAAGTTCCTCGTTATTATTATTTTTATTAATTTAGGGAACTGAAGCTCGCTCAGTATTATTATTATTATTATTATTATTAATTTATGGAACTGGAGCACAGATCCAATTCCCTAGGTCAAGAACCTCTCACCAGCATCAAGGAACCTTGATGCTGGTGAGGGGCCTTTGATCTAGGGAATTGGATCTGTGCTCCAGTTCTCTAACTTAATAATAATAATAATAATAATAATAATAATAATAATTATTATTATAATATAATAATGAGAGAGCTTCAGCTCCCTAAATTAATAATAATAATAATAATAATAATAACAATAACAATAACAAGCAAGCTTCAGAACACCGCCACTAGTTGGTGCAGTAAATGCCACATCAGCTGAGCTGTGCATGTGTTTATGTCACCATGGAAGCATTTCTCATGTTATTATTGCCAAATTTCTTTTTTCTAACCATGGGTCCTAAGAACGTATGTGCAAAGGACAGTGCTGAGAAGAAAAAGAGGATGATGTCTATGGAATTACAGCGTGAAATCATAGATAAACAAGCAAGGTGTGCAGGTTGTTTGCGAGGCAGTACAAGCGTAGTAGCAAGGAGCCTATCTTTCACCCCCCACCAGCGTACATTTATTTCTTTACATTCTCTATTATGTTTTTATACAATATTTCTTATTTATAAATACATTGTTTTAGTGTTTTCCTTGTAAAACTAGTAATGTAGTGCAGTAAGCCTCAAACACTCCATTTTCTGTTATAAAAAGAGCATAGGAAGATATAGAGTGGGAGCGGGAATGGCCGCCGCTGAAACCACTAGTCACATAATGACATATTTTATTCATTCTAGAGTATATATCATGTTTCTGTGTTATTTATATTGTTTATTAGGTCATATTAGATGAATTGGGATAGATAAATAAGTCGTAGAGTTGATATTAGTGTCATATTGAAGTATTTTGTCCTGCCTCCTGAAAGCAGGAATTCTGCTGGAATGGATTAATGGCTTTTCAGTTAATTTAAATGAGGACAATTGATTTGATATACGAGCAAATTGAGTTACGAGCTGGGTCACGGAACAGATTAAACTCGTAAGTTGAGGTTCCACTGTATATGAATACCATTTTAAAAAAATGTATAAATCAGCTGTATTTCCAGCATATAAAGTGCCTTCTTTACCCCAAAAAAGTCTCAGAAAATCACTATGCCTTATGGTCTCAAGGTCAGGAACAGTGGAAGGCTATGGGTTACAGTGGAACCTCTACTTGCAAATTTAATCCATTCCATGACCTTGCTCGCAACTGGATTTGTTCATTTGCAGAGTCAGTTTTCTTCATTTAAATTAATTAAAATGCAATTAACCCTTTCAGGGTCCGTGCCGTAGATCTACGGCTTTACATTGAGGGTCCAAACGTAGATCTACGCCGTGAGCTCAGCTCACTCTGATAAACTGTGAGCGGTAAATTTGGGCCTAGATATGAGAGAATACATCTATGTGGTATGTGTGCACCACATAAAACAAATACTGCAGCACACAGTGCATAATGAGAGGAAAAAACTGAGACCGTAATTTTATATTAAAACAGCAACTTTGCAGTGTTTTTTTCGTATGCTTTTTATAGTTATATTTGTAATTTCTCGGTCTCATTTGATAGAATGGAAGATATGTTACAGAAATAGAGAAGCTTTTCATTGGTTTTAGCACTGAAAATGGCTTGAAACTGAGCTCAAAATAGCAGAAATGTTAAATATTTGCTGATGTTCAAGAGTAAACAAATGGCCTCACATGTCTAATACACGCCAGCTGGTGGGTCTGATGTACGTTCACAAATGTGCTGATATTATTTATACAATTATTACAATATTGCATGGCAGTAAATCTTCTATTTTTTGGTTTGAATAAAAATTCATTATGTGAATAAAAAATCAAAATGTAATTAATTTGTAAAGCCTGAAAACATAACTAATGAACAGAGGAAATGTTAGTTTAGTGCCAGGAATGCCTGCATTGTTTATTCTGGACCCTATTTTGAAATTGGAATATTTTGAACTTGTACTAAATTGGCCAGATTATCAATTTCCAGTCACTTTATTTTGCAGTTGAAACAGTTGAGTTAGCGATTTCTTGTGTTCAGTCGATAGAACAGAAGTAATACTAGTGAAATAGCTAAGAATTTTGTCAGCTGGAATAAGGTAATTGGCCTAAAATGGAAGTCAAAGTCGTCAAAATCGCTGATGCATAAATATCGCTGACGCATCAAAATTCGCGAGAGCATAATTTTGTCAATTTTCCATGAAATTTCATACTTTTTGTTTTATTACCTTCAGAAAAAGATTCCCTACCATTTCATTAGAAAAAAATAAAATTATTTTTTGAAAATTCTTGGACACTGGTGTGCACTTTGAAATTTGGCCTCTGGACCCTGAAAGGGTTAATCCGTCCAGTGGAATTCTGTACTTCAATAATTTCACTAATATCAACTCTATGGCTTATTTATATATCATAGTTCATCTAATATGACATAACAAACAATATAAATAACATAGAAACCTGAAATATACTCTAGAATGAATAAAATGTCATTATATATGTGGCAGCTGCGGCGGCTGACGAGAGTTTGTCTGGAGACAGGACAAAATACTCCTTGAATATTTCGCTATCATCAACTCTACGGCTTATTTATCTATCACAGTTCATCTAATATGAAATAATAAAAAATATAAATAACATAGAAACCTGATATATACTCCAGAATGCATAAAATATGTCATTATGTAACAGGTGGAGGCGGCCATAACTGCTCCCTCTTTGTTGTGGTAAACACTGCCATCTAGTGACGGCCTTTTGAAATCGTCTGTTATTATAATTATTATTATGTAGTACATTATTATTATATATGTATTATTTTTTTTTTTTTCAACAAGTCGGCCGTCTCCCACTGAGGCAGGGTGACCCAAAAAGAAAGAAAATCCCCAAAAAGAAAATACTTTCAACATCATTCAACACTTTCACCTCACTCACACATAATCACTGTTTTTGCAGAGGTGCCCAGAATACAACAGTTTAGAAGTATATTCGTATAAAAAATACACAATATATCCCTCCAAACTGCCAATATCCCAAACCCCTCCTTTAGAATGCAGGCATTGTACTTCCCATTTCCAGGACTCAAGTCCAGTTATATAAAATAACCGGTTTCCCTGAATCCCTTCACTAAATATTACCCTGCTCACACTCCAACAGCTCATTAGGTCCCAAATACCATTTGTCTCCATTCACTCCTATCTAACACACTCACGCATGCTTGCTGGAAGTCCAAACCCCTCGCCCACAACTCCACCTTTACCCCCTCCCTCCAACCTTTTTGAGGATGACCCCTACCCCACCTTCCTTCCCCTACAGATTTATACGCTCTCCATGTCATTCTACTTTGATCCATTCTCTCTAAATGACCAAACCACCTCAACAATCCCTCTTCAGCCCTCTGACTAATACTTTTATTAACTTCACACCTTCTCCTAATTTCCACACTCTGAATTTTCTGCATAATATTTACACCACACATTGCCCTTAGACAGGACATTATATTATTATTATTATATTATACTATTATTATTATATGTATTATTATTATACATATGATTATTATTATTATTACTATTATTATTATTATTATTATTATTATTATTATTATTATTATTATTATTACATTAAGAAGCATCTTTCCATCATACATTGCCCAAGTTTCAATATGATATTCCAACAAACAAGTGAGATACAATTCCCTAGATCAAGAGCAAGAGCCTCTCACCAGCGTCAAGGCACCTGCTTTGAGGTCTGCTCGCTTATGGAAATTTTGCTCGTGTATGGAAGCAAAAAATTTGACCCATCGACTGCTCGTATTTGGAAAAACTCACACGTGGATGCGCTCGAAAGTAGAGGTTCCACGGTACTGATAAGTGGTAGTGCTGTAGTACTGGTAAACTGAACTCCAAACACTCCCTCTGTACAAAACTATTTCACAGATTACTTTCAAGCCATTA